AATCATACTTAATCAGTTTTCAGATAAATATGCTATAAATTCACATAAATCACGATGATCATAAAACACTAATCGGTTTCCGGTTTGGCCGCCGATAAGGCCTTCAATTAGCAGTTTAAACACAAAGACACGAACAGATAATCAAATAACCAAACCGATAGAATTACAATAAAACAGGCATACTCAATCAATTCAGTTTCAATTTCAGTCAGTCAATTCAGTAGTTTATTCAGTTCACTTATCAGTCATAATCAGTTTCAGTTTAACGGTAATCAGTGGTTATTCGGTAAACAGCGACGAGGGTTGTTACACTTATTGCCATCACAGTCTGCCACTGTTGCCCAAATTTCATGCTCAGAAAATTCCACATCCAAACAGCAGAAATGCTGGCTCTGGCAATGACATTAAATGGGCTCAAAAGCTTGGGCCTATACTTCTAGTGCTCAGAAAAACTTAACCTGAAATGATCATACATAGCTTGGTTGACCTCAGCAGGTTCCTTCACTAATTCCCCACTTACTGAGATAGAATCACTTGCATTGGTATTCTACTTTTTAGTAGCTATGATATGGAAAATTTTTGTATTTTTATCTCCTTTAAGATTCCAGTTCAGTCTTGACTTCTGTAGCCAAATTCTTTCCATCATCTTCATAAGCTTCCACACTTCACCTCTCACATCTTTTCTCCTTCTACCTTCAACCTCATCTAGGTCTCTACTCTCAACAATTAGATCTATGGTATGTAGATTCTCTTCAGCTTGCCTTATTTTAGACTCCATATTCCCAAACACTTCGAAATCCCACTGCTTTAAAGATTGTTTAAGTGCCTTCAACTTAATTTTCAGTTTGTACCCTGCCCAGCCTTCCACCTGAGTCCCTACCTACACTTGCTTCACTACATTGAGAAAAGAGGGATGGGATGCCCAAGCATTGATGAATCTAAAAGGCTTTGGGCCCCAATTTCTGACATCCTCCATTAGGGTAATTGGACAGTGATTTGAGATAGATCTAAAGAAACCCCAAAGTTTGTATCTAAACCATTCCAACTATTCTGGCCCAACAAGAAACCTGTCTAGCCTGCTTCATCTCTCACCTTCCATTGAATTACACCATGCAAATTTTCTTCCCAACATAGGTAAGTCAATCAGTTCAAGACTATTTATGAAATTACAAAAATCTTCCATTCGCCTATCCCTTCGAACATAACCCTTCCTTTCATCTATTGATTTGATTTGAGGTGATTGAGTTGTGGTTTAACAAAAACTTTTTAGTTGGTTTTTTGGAATTAAGACTTTTTAAGTTTATGATTAAAAAATTTGTTTGGATTGATTTTTTTGTATTTTTTTAAATTTTTATGAGAGAAAAAATAAAATAATTATAATTTTAATGTGACATTTTATCTTGTTAATTTTTTAATCTATTTTATTTTTTAATAGCTAATTTAATTCCAACCCAACTTAACCCAACCCACATAGCCAAACAAAGCATGAATAGAGCTATATTCGATTAGGATTAGGATTAGGATTTGGTTTGGTTTGGTTTGGTTGTTCCATTGCATTGGAATATATCCTTTTGTTTTATCAAAGGTTATTTTAGTTCCATAATCACTTGTAATAAAAAATCACTAATAAAATATTATTATTTGTTTTTCACAGCTAAGGTTCTCATGATTGGTTTCTCTTCATTGCTTTCATTATTATGCTTTTTTGGGGAGTGATTTGAAAAATTACAAATTTTTCTACTAAATTTTTTTATTTAACAAAATTAATTTAAAAAGTAAAATTTTGACTATTTATCTATACAATAATAAAATTATCTGAACTATTAATTGAAATAAAATTTTAATATTATTAAAAACTGTTAATTAACCTGATAATTTATTAATAAAATGGCTTATTTGTTATAAAATTAGAAACCTTAGAAGGCATAATATAATTTTTAAAACTACAAGAGATAACTTATAATTTAAGCATACCTCAGGGGATGTGTTTGTAATTTACCCATACGTGGGCAATCAAGAAGTGATCATTCACACAACCTATGGTTGAGAAAAAAAAAATGATCCGGACCCCCTTTCTCCCCCGCCCCCTTTGACCCTCTCTTTTTCTGATTGGCCAGTTTTTCTTTTTTTCTATATTCACGCTATTTGATTTTGAGTTTTTTAAAAGTAGTTTTAAATTTTTTTAATATTTTAGTCAATTTTTTATTTGTATTTTTCAGATGCAAATAATTTAGATATATTTAAAAATTAAACTATTTTTGAGGGAAAATCTTTAAAACAAAATCAATAAATAAAAAAAAAATTACAAAAAATATACTAAATTTTTGTATTTTTAAAAATATTTTATAGTATTTAGTCATTTTAAAAAATATTTTTCATAAATTTTATATTTTTGAAGTGTATTTAGATTAAGTGAATCTAAATAGTAAAAATAATTTGATATATTAAAAACGTTCACAAAAAAAAATAATATGAATTGAAATTTTAAAAACTATTTTTGATGACTCCAAAACTAAACGGAGTGATTGTCATTCATCCAAGTGGAGAGACAGAAAAAAAGAAAAAAAAAGAAAAGAGAAGAGTGATTGCCATTCATATGATTGTTCTTATTTTTCGATGCCAACTTAGTTGGGATCGGTTTGTCTTACTATGATACTTTTTGCACTTATCTCTTCTTTCACTTTATTGATATATTATCCTCTTTTCGACGATTACCATCAATAAAGATTTCTCCCTTTCGCTAATTAAAAAAAAAAAGAAGAGCAAGAATATGGCAATGACAATGGCAATGGCAATGGCAATGTAAGAATGGTGCATGTGATGTCTCAATTTGAATTTTTAATGCATCACTTTTGTGTTTCTTTCTAGAAAATGACAAAACAAGTGTCCTAATATGACAATAATATGGAGCAATAGTCTGAGACTATCAAATAAGTTGTCGTTACTTGTGGGATGACATTTTTCAAAAGCAAGAAATGTTCATTTAAAATATTAATTTTTCTTTCCAAATTTTTGTAGTTTTTATTAAACTTCACTTTCAAACATAAGTTTATGTTTTTTGATCTTACAATGATATTTAAAAATTATAGAACGTAGTGAACATATGACCACATGCATCTTGAATGCAGCAAGGTTGTGTCAATATTTCCAACGTGGTATATAATTTAATTAATTTGAAGTAGGAAACTGTTATACATACATGCAAGACAGTTGGGAAAGTGTATTCACTATATATATTTAAATACCATATCAGTTGGTGATCTCAGAATGGAGTTATTCAAAAGCATAGTGTTTGTTTGCTAATGCTCTATGATTAACACATGGTTACATACCTAATACCATGCAATGCAATCATCAGTATTTATTCAATAATGTAATCAACACATCAAGCAAAATTTAAATTATGCTACTCTATCCATCATTAATATATGTAACAAAGAGCAAAATAAATGCAGCTTTTGATGCATATGCACCCCATTCATGTGCACACATATCTTATGAATGATATTAATCATGCTTTATTTTTTTAATTGTCGATAATTCAAGTTGTGTTTGGATCTAAAATTTGTGGAGGGACACGAAATAAGAAGGTAAAGTAAACAAAATATAAGTTAAATTTTTCTCTAATTTTCTTATCCTTTTTCTTTTCAACCTCAAATTCCTTTTCAAATCCTTGATCCAAATACATGCTTAAGAGGGTCTCCAATGGTTGGATAGGTAAATAGTTAGTTATTGTTATGATTTAGTAATGAATAGTGTTAAAATATTTTAATTTTAGCAATTTTGCTCCAATGATACAATGTAAAATTTTTCAACTTTTCACACAAAATGTCAAATCAAAATGCTATATATGAATTTCTAGAGGAAAGAGAGAGATACAAAGATTTAGCTATGGGTAAAACTTGTGCTATATTTACACAATATTTACCTATACGTAACATATAGCAAATCATATATCTTACAATTGGAGTAGAAATTTGAAAGTTTCAAAGCAAAATATAGCAATAACAAGCCATAGAGCATACAATTGGAGATGCTTGGTCTACATTTAAATCAATATAATAAAAGTAACAACAGAGTTAAAACAACCTAACTGATAAAAATAGAAAGACATTGTCTAATGACTAGGGTTACTATAATGGGACAAGAGGAATTTGAGCACATGATAACACCTTATTAAGTTATTTTTAATTTGACTTTGCTTTGGTAGTCAAACTGGTTGCTGCTCATAAGGCATATATAAAATATCCTGATAATTAAAAAACTGTTCCAACTACTTACAAATAGATATTCTATTTTCAGAATCCTAGTTGTTGTTTATATTTTTTATAAATAAATATGATTAAATCATGTAATTATGATTATTTCATAATCTAAGAGAAATACTATATGGTTCGATTTTTTGTTACCGTTTTATACCACTTTATACACTACAAGAATTTTCACATTTGCCGACCACTTTTGCCGACCAAAAAAAATTTTGTCGCAAAAAAATGACATTTGGCGACCAAATATTAATTAGTCGCGAATGATCATTATTTGTGGCGACCAAATATTATTGGTTGCAGAAGGTTATATTTTGGCGACCAAAAAAAGAGTTGGTCGCAGAAAGTGGAATGCTTTTGCCGACCAACTACAAATTTGGTCGCGGAAGGTCACATATTTTTTGGCGATCAAAAATTTAGTCGCCAAAAACTTATTTTCAGCAATTAAAAAAAATTAGTCGCCAAATTTGTATTTTTAGCGACTAATATTTTAATCATCGTTGATTGAGATTTGGCGACTGAAAAAGTTTGTCGGCGAAGGTACTTTTTCTGCGACTAATTTGGTCTTTTGGTCGCCAAAAGTTTGGGAGGGAAATTTGAAACATGGAGGGGGGAATTGAAATTTTTTAGCGACAAAAAAAATTTGGTCGGCAATCAGAAAATGACGTCATTTTGTTCCTGTGAAACAGAAAAAAAAAATTTTAAAAAAGGCAAATCCAGTGAGTAGCCTTTCTGTATGTGAGGTCGATTTGAACCCTTCTTCCTTTGTGGAATCTATGGAAGGGTTGACGAGTGATATTATCGCGATGAATGAAATAGAGAAAAGGGTTGCATCGTTGGGGTTAGCTTCGGTGGAGGTTTCACAGCGGGATCCGTTTCGGCGAGTTACTCAGTCGAAGCCCTTTGAGGAGTTAAGAGAGGAGCTTAATCGTATGAAGGCTTCCATGTTTGGTGTGGATCGGGAGGATCTGATCCCGTGTGATCTTATCCAAGAGGAAACTTCAACCCTAACATCTTCTGCCCTAAATCTTCTCCAATCTCGGTGGTCAGACATCGTAGAAATGGAGGGGAGTGAGGAAGCTGTTGTAGATCGCTTTAAGTATATCCCAGACAACCTCTTTCTTGCTAGGGCGAGAAATCTGGTATCGAAGCTTGATGTCCTTCCGATGGCTGGGAGTGTCCATTCTCATGGAGTTGGTGGTAGTATGGCTGATTCGAAGGTTTACACACCTATTGGAGGTCGATCTGGGTCAGGTGGTCGTGGAGGAAGGGGAGGCAGAGGCCAAAATCCTGTAGCCCTGAATCCTGAGTTGAATGTGGTTTCAGCTGTAGAAGATTGATGTAATCTCTCTCTCTCTCTCTCTCTCGCTAAACCCTTTTAAGAACCAGTTTTGATTCTTGTTTTTCCTATTCAGATTGGTTTTGTATATATTTTCATGATTTAATTCGATTCCAAATATGCATCTATTTACTTTTTGCCTACTACCCTTTTTCGATTGAATCTTTTGTACATTTGATGATTTGAGATCTATACATGCCTCTGGATGTAGTGATTATGGTTTGAGTGTTCATGGTTCATCCCCTTTAAAGCCCTTTTTTTTTTTTGTTCAGTATTTTTTTGAGTCTATTTCTGAGGGGAAGACCCATGTCCAATTTTACAAGATAAGATCTTAACTCAGATTCAATCAATAGATTTATTTATTTATTGAAAAAAGATGGGTATGATTGCATGATTTGATTTTAAAAAAAATTTACTTATCAAAAAATATATTTTTCCATTTTAAATAAGTTGATACAAATAAAGGCTGAAATAAGTGATGATTGGTTGGTGGTATAAAAGATTATAAAAGATGGGAACATTTCCAAACAAATTCAAATCGTGAATTGGACGTGAAAAAGAAAAACTGGGGAAGTATTTCACTCATTTGAAATATGCTCATATACTTGTAGATTTACATGTGGAATTTTATAAAGTACATAAAATTTATACATCGACAACTTTGAAAAATAATATTATATTGAAGTATATCCCAACACCAGAAAAACAGTTTTCTATCGGCTTGAGGTTAACCTGAAACTATATATAGTAACATTTTCTTGACATTGTATCAATGGATTTAACTCAAAATGTTTAGGTCTTGTGATATATATTTTTTTCTTTTGGGATGTGTTAGGGTTTATGATATGTTTCATGGAACAAATGTGTGGTGACGAAGATCAAATATACGTTGTGACAAGGATGTGGTGATAAAGATGTGATACTGAATCTGCTAGCTTTAATCATTTTTTCATTGAATGTAGTGGGATTGATGAACTGTTGCTGGTTATTATAAACTCTACACTTATTGGCTCCGAGTAAGAGCTACGAAGGCTGATCTGTTTTTGTTCTTTTACTTCCAATGTTGACTGCATACCCTCTTCTATTTAAAGTTATTTGCAGTTATCAGAACCTGACCAACCGGTGAAGGCACTGGCTGTGGTACTGTAGTTCTACTGTTGAACTGTTGTTATAAAGATATATTCTATTGATTCATAAAGCTAGTTTCCAGATGGGTATAAATTTTAAATGGTGCAGAAAATTAACATAATGATAAAGAGAGAACAGTTGTTGGATTGGTGTAAAGCCATATTAAATGCCCAGGTTTGAGCCTTGTTAGGCTTATTTCTCTAGTTTTTACAATGGGGGAGCAAAACAATCATATGCTGCACTCCGGTTCAATCATTAAATGTTCCAACTTCCGACTAAGTCAACCAAACTGGTGGATTCTTTGGTTTGTGGTTGGACTAGTTCAACCAACTGGTTCAGTTCTCTGATGACACTAGGCTTGTTTACTAATGGGATCTTGCGCTTTCAGTGATAGGATTTTTTTTGGCTACCTTTAGAAAATGTTAACAATCTCCACAATTGGTTTTCGAAAAATTCCGTTAATATTAGATCTTGATGAGAAGGATTATGAACTTTTAAAATCATTAATCTATTGCCTTTCACTGCTTATGCTATTCTAGTGATGGGGCATCATATATACTTGGCAATGATTAATGGATTTTGTCAAGAACTTCTGCCACTCGCTTTGATGCTCACCAAATTATTTCTATGGTTGGTAATTGTTGAGTAAATTTGTTCTAGCTTCAGAAGCCAGTGATTGAAGATGAAGATGATGAGGATGATGACGATGAAGATGATGACAAAGATGAAGATGATGTTGAAGGCAAGTGTACAGACAACACTGAATTTGGCTTTATGTTTTCTACTCATAGCAAGTCATTATATTGAAATCTATTATATGGCATATATGGTTTTGGTTTTTGTCCCCTTCATGTATCTTAGTGGCATTGTGTTAGTAGGTAATTTTTAATTGCCTTTTCTTTTTTGTTGGTGTGGTCATTGTTGAACGTTAGGAATTATGGGGCCCATTCTACATGGAATCTTGAATTTGGAGCACCTCTTTTGGGGTGGTTTTCATGGGAAGTCCTTTGTTAAGAGGCCTTCTAATAAAAAGTCCTTGTGTTTATAATTTTCTTAGAAAATATTATTATTTTTGCTTGAGCTGCTTCATATGGTGTAATATTCATCTTGACTTGACAGAGTATAATTTATTTGGACTGTTAGTGAGAAATACATTTCTCTTGTTTTTGTTTTGTTTGGTTAAATCGTAAGTGACCATAATGTTATTTATTTGTTGCGATCAATATCATGTTTTTATCATAATTAGACCTGCTAACAAGGCCATCACACATCACACAACTGGTCAATTTTTTCGAATCAACGAATTTCTGATTGCATTCACCTAATCTCAATTTTAATTATGTCAAAAATTTTGCTTTCAATCTGTGGTAAAATAAGGGGTTAAGGCAGGTGCTATCTACCTCAAATGGGTTCATTTTTTTCATGTTTGATAACTTGGACAATAGTAGTGCTGTTTTACAGGAGGGCTCTTGGTTTTTTGGTGGTCATTTCTTAGTTTTAAAGAAGTGGCATAATATGATGAAGCTTACAAAGGAGCAACTGGATAAGATTCCTATTTGGATCAAATTATTCAATGTCCCAATGGAATACTGGATCTCTTGATCCCTTTTTGTTGTGTTGGTTAGATTTATTTTTTGATGATGTTAAATCTCTGGCCTTGGTATAATGGTGTTATGAACCATAGTGGTGTTATGAACCATGTTTTGTATAATTGGTCTTCAATTAACTAATTATGATTATCAGATCAGTTCTGCAAATCCAGAAATGTGGCATTTCTCAAACCCTTGTCTCTCTCTCTCTCTCCCCACCACCCCACCACCCAAAAGAGATTATTGTAGTTGGTGTAGAAATGATATTGTTTCTCAATTCAGAATTGCAAAAAACACACACACACAAGATACACAGATATTGAATAGTGTAGACAATTTTCAAGTGACTCATTTATTATTGTCAGTTCATTTTTTCTCAATGTTGAAGATTGCACACGAAATGCATGTCCATGTTGACTCTTTCTTACCATTTGAATGTGTCCAACGGATAGTGAAATGGACTGCTGTACATTCCCATTTATTTAGCATCTTCTCCACCTGGGCATTAAATGTATGTTATTGGTGATTTGTCTGACTGTTTAAACTATCTGTGAGCATTCAACTGTCTGACTATTACTATACAGCTTCTGAGTGTGGAAGATCCGTGGACATTGATCATTGATGATGCCCTGGCTAATTCTTTTGTCGCACCGGCTAAATGTTTGGATTTCTGTTGTCCAGTTCACTCCTCATCCGCATGCAGGGGATGCGGGGTGTATCTATCCAAGTTATGATTATGCACATTGCACTGTGGATTCTAGTGAGAATATTACACATTCGGTATGTTGATTTATTCTTTGAATCTTAGATTGGTAGTCCTTTGTTATTGTTCTCTTCTATCATGAATTCAACTGGTTTGTTTGCTGGCATGTAAATTATATGGTTCATCTCATTCATGTATTACTTGTATGTCTATATTTGGAAAGCATACGCCTGTAAGATAGGTTTGAAGAAATTTAAATTGTCGCCTATTGAATTTTATTTTGTGTTACTGATTTTTTAGACGTGGATATTTATGTTGGATTGGAATTTTTATATCAGAAGTGAGAATTGAAGATATTTTACTCAATAGGTCTTTTTCAACTTCTTCTGCACAGCATGTTAGAACTAAAATAACCTATAAGTTCATGGTAATTTTGTATTACGAACATAGAAGATTCCTTCAAAGAAATATGAACATTTGAGGATTATCATGATAATAAAATTTGAAGTCGGGGCTGCTTTTATAAACATCTAAATTTTGTGTTTATGAACATTTTTCGCCAAACCATTCTGTCATCTGTGGCAACTGTAACCCTGGCATTCTTGTTTTGTGGTTGATGTGAATGTAGTTAGCAATTTGTTGAATGCTGCTTATCATTTTCTAAATCAGTTGTTGAGTAGTCAATATTCGTGTATTGTGTATAATGGATGGGATTAGAATTTCCTTTCAGTGTTCTTTTATAGTTATATTGGTATTTCTGAAATTGAATCAGAATAGTAAATTGGTCTACTGACTGGTTTTGGAGAACTCCCTCAATCAAAAGTTTGAAATAGCCTTTTATTTTGTGTTGAAAATAGGCAATAGTACATTTCTGTGTGCTTTGTTGAACTTACCTTTTCTGCATGTAAATTTCTTATAGATAGTCCCTTGTAATATGCATATTTCAGTGGACTTTTGTCTTTCTAATAGGTTGGTTAATGCTTGAAGCTCAAACTGTTTCCATCATAAAATCAGTGCTAATTTGACCATATATGACCATATATGAACCTTGTCAAGCTTGATTGTGTTTGCCATGACCATATATGAACCTTGCACTTTCCTCTGTGTAAACATGAGTCTCATTGTCCAATCTGTTAATACCCATTTCAAATTTGTAATTTGCAGCGTATACTCTGAAATTGATAATTTAATTACCTGCAAATGAGTTAGAAATTTTGATTTGAACTTACGATTATCTGAAATTGATAATTTAATTACCCATTTCAAATATTTTCATTAAAAACAAACCTAACATTATTTCTCATTTTCTTTGGTGTAGATGGATGATGGATGATCTCATGCACGAAACTAAATTGTACAAGACTACTTGGCAGTATAAGCATTTTTGGGAGGATCAAATATTTTTGGATGGATGTGTATGGATAACAAATATTAGTAGTTTTATTTGTTGATAGCTATGCATGGATAACAAATAGTTATGTTTCAAATTGTTATGCTAGATGGATGTGACTTGTGAATGAAAACTTAGAATAGTTGTATTGCGTCGAATGTTAATGAATTATGTATTGTGTCGAATGTTAATGATTCAGTTAATTTGAATGATGCTTTAAAATTATAGGTTTATTATGGATTGAATGAATTATTAGGAATTACAGGTGTATTGTTTTCCTGCTTTGGCGACCAATTTATTAGTCACGACATCCAAAATAAATTTTTTTCGCAAAAAATGACAATTGCCGACCAAGAGTTTTGGTCGCAAAAAATACATCTATTGCCGACCAAAACAGCTCTTGGTCGTGGAAACTCACTTTTGCCGAGCAAAAGTTTTGGTCGCAAAAAGTAACAAATAGCGACCGAATTTTTTGGTCGTGGAATGTCACAATTGGCAACCAAACTTTTTGGTCGTTGAATGTGATAATTGGCGACCAAACTTTTTGGTCGCGAAATTTGTCAATTGGAGACTAAGATATTTGGTTGGGAAAATATCACTTTTCGCGACCAAAGTGTTTTAGCGACAAAATAAATTAGTCGCGTAATTAAATATTTAGCGACCAAAAATTTAGTTGGCAAATCCAACTTTTGCCGACCAACTAAAATTTTGTTAGCGAATTACTTTTGCCGACCCTCAATTGGCGACCAAAGTAGCGACCAAAAAAATTGGTTGCGGATAACTTTTGCCAACCAAAAATAGACTTTTAGCGACCAATTTTTTTGTTGCCAAAAGCGTTAATTCTTGTAGTGATACCTGGATATTTATGATTAGTTTCTTATCTAAAGATACTTATTAAGAGATTAATGATAACCAGCAATCCTCATAATATATATATATATATATATATAGGGGCTTACAATATAAAACTACTCAAATTACGATATTCCTTTAGGGAAGCATATGCGTGAGGGGTGTTCAAATTACCTATTGAATTGAACCAAACCGTTCTCTTTGAATTGGGTTAGTTCTTGAGTGCATTGGTTTAGTTCTGAGTTTTCAAATCATCAAACCGATATAATTGGATTGGTTCTTTGTTTAGGCCTTGCCTATATCGAACCAACCCGAGAACCGAACCAATTTATATATATAATTTAAAATTTTACTTATATTAACATGTCTTTACCTAATTGGCCTATTACAATAGATTTGATTACACGTAATAATTTTTCACGTATAAGAATTATTAAGTGAACGAAGGAAGTACTAGAAAATTGAGTTGAATTTCGTAGTTGATTTAATTTGTATTGACTATATTAATGGATTTAATTTGTATTCGTTTTGTTTAAGGTTGAGTTGAATTTAATTTGTATTAGCTTACATTAAATAATGTTTTTCTCTTTGTTTGTGTGGTGTTTAAATGTAAAATATTTGTTTATTTTAATTATTTATTATTGATTAATTCATTTATTTTTAATATAGTAGAACCTTGGTTCCAATCCGAACCAACCCGAGCTATATTGGGTTGGGTTAGGTTGGTTCTAATACATGATTAGTTTAATTTTGAATCCAAAAATTTAAAAGCAATCATAATTAGATTGGTTCTAAATTTAGTACCAAATCAAACTAAACCGGCCCATGAATAACCTATGCATGACAACATAATATTGCATCGAGATGTAGTGAGAGACTTAGAGATCCTTGTTCCAAATCATATTCACCAATGAAGAGATAAAATAAAATTAAGAAACATTGCTTATATATATATATATATATATAGTGAGAGGGTAAAAAGTGTGAAGCTTGGGCTGAGCTGGGACTAGATATAAGTGAACCGAATTGTGGGCCGAGGTGAATGGGCTTCGCCACTGGGCCTTGTTAGCCCGGTCATGAATGACTGAGGTTAGCTCAACTTGAGTATTCTGAACCAAGGTATAGGGAGCCGTGTTGTAAAAGCAAGGTGGAATCGAGCTAAATAAAGCAAGGTAGAACCGAGCTAAGGAAAGCTCGGTGAAATCTGCCGCTTTAGCATGTGTTAGCCCAGTTGTTTTGTCATATTACCGCGGTAAAACCATCTCACTTGGTTAGGCAGTAAAGGGGGTGTAGAAAGATGAGCATTACCTTTCTCTTTTCTAGGATGATTCTACCTTGGAGAATCAGAGTCCTACTAGGATTGTGCCACACGGAGTCTACAAAAGCTCATAGCAGGACCTATGTATAGGTATCACAATCTTTACCTTCGAATACACAAAGCTTTTTGTCTATTTACTAACTTAGGCATCGGAGAGGTATCCGGCACACACCTGCCGGCTAGCTCACGTTTGTGTTTTCAGGGAGTAAAGCGACGACGTTTGGAGGAGCGCAAACTTGATCAACAGGATTATACAAGGAGATTATTTCGTGCTCGTACAATTGGCGCCGTCTGTGGGAAGTGCACAAAGAACAATACCTTTTGATCAAGTTTTCTTCTCTAGTTGAAAACAATGGCACACAACGAAGACTTGCCGCAATCTGCTATTGATGGGAAAACCTCGGAGGGGGGTGCAAGGCGCGAAGGTCTACCCTCTGTCCCCCCCCATGGCAGAATTAGAACCCCATCGACGGAACTCCCGGAGGGACACAAGGGAGAGACGGGGCAGTAGTCCTCGTCGCTCCCAAAGTCCTGATAGACAGAGGCGGATGTTAGATCCTCAAGTTCTGGAAGATCGCGTAAAGGAGCAAGACGAGTTAATAAGGAGAATGGCGGCGAACATGGAGACAATGAAGTGCCAGATAAAGGGTAAAGGAGTAACGATAGAAGAGGGGCGCAAAGGCAACACGCCCCCTCGCCACTCAAAAGATCGTGAAAAACATACCACATCATCGCAAGTAGAAAGTAGGAGCCTTAGAACGGGCAGCACTCAATCAAGGACTTCCAGAACTCGTTACTCCCGGTCTGAGAGAACGAGAACTGAAAGGTCGTATACGGAGGGAAGTAGCTATCGGCCCTCGCACACGTACCAAACGACGTCTAGGCACACAGAGTTTCCTAGATCATCTGACCTACGAATAGTGCTTGAGGAAAGGGCGCGATGGAAGAAGGACACCAGGGCTCGCGACCCACGCAGAGTTTCAGCCTTACAGCGGTTGGCCCCTAGGGCGCATGAGAGTGTCGAGGTAGGGATGTCAATGCCGCGCCTTGCTTACGAACCAGTAGACAAAGTATTAGCAAGGTTACAGAGCTCGCCGTTCGTTCCGGCAATGAGAACGCACCACTACCTTCAGGCTTCCACCACCCCAAATTCACCACCTATGAAGGGAAGACAGACCCTTACATGCACTTAAGCCAGTTTCGCTAGGTTATGGCAGTATACCGGGGGAATAAGGCCTTAATGTGTTTCCTGTTTCCATTTAGTCTTGGCGTCCTAGGTCTAACCTAGTTCGAAAGACTACCAGAAGGCAGCATAGCCTCATAGGCACAATTGGTAGAAACGTTCGTGACCAGGTTCAGAACGAATACCAAGACATAAGTGGAGATCGACCAGCTACTCTTCATTGACATGGGCGAAAAGGAAACATTGAGATCTTACAACAGGCACTATTGGGAGACCTTTAACTAGATTAGGGATTGCCCTACCAATCTTGCCATTGCACAATATAAGCGAGGTTTACCAATCAGTAACAAACTAAAGGACTCAATAACAATGATGCCACCCCTCACGATGGAGGCCCTAATGGAGAGGGTACATCAACATATCCGAGTAGAGGAGGATAGCGCCCGTGCTAAAGCAAAATCTGGCGCAACAACAATGCTAGATAAAAAGACTACAGCGAAAGTCAATACGGTGGAACAACCAAGCAAGAATGGGCACAGCAGGTTAGCCAACAGAGAGGACCCAGAAAAAAGGAACTTAAGAATCTGCACCGCCATTACCACAGTATTCAATAAACCTATCTATCGGATTCTCAGTGAAATACATAATGAATCCTTCGTTCAGCGGCCAACCAAGCTGGGAGAGGCACAAAAAGATATGACGAGAGGTCCCGATGTACCTTCCATGATGAGAAGAGGCACCGCACTGAAAATTGCACGCCATTGAGGCACCATCTGAAGGAGTTGGTGGCTGCTAGGCACCTGGACCAGTACATAGAATGGAGGACACAACCAGTCCCCCGGGACCTCAACAAACCAAACGGGATGCCAGTCGACGACCCACCCCAAGGCATAATGAACGTCGTACATGGGATCATTGAACCTGAGTGGGTATGTGAACTCAGGGGGATGATTAAAAAGGCTGAGCATTTGAGAGAGGTATTAAGTACACAGCCTACCATCAAAAAGGGCAGAACAGAGGCTACGAATGTCATATCCTTCTCAGACAAGGATCTAGCAAGGCTACATTGCCCTCAAAATGACTCACTAGTGGTGACTTTGCGCGTCAAAAATTTTAACATCAAGCGGATTCTGATTGACCAAGGGAGCACATGCGAGACAATGTACTACGAGCTCTTCAAACCGCTGAAATTGGAGGACAAAGATTTGGCACTTGCGACATCTCCCCTTGTCGGTTTCAACTCAATGCCAGAATGGCCGGTAGGCAAGATAATCCTCCCATTCAAGGCAGGAACCATGACAAAACAAGTGGAATTCTGGGTATTTAAGGTCTCCTCTACTTACAACATAATCTTGGGAAGGACATGGCTGCATGTCATGCGCTCAGTGGCGTCAACCTACTATCAGGCATTATGATTTCCCAACGAAACCGGCGTGATTGAAGAAGTCTTAGGATACCAAATCATGTCGAAGTAATGTTTCGTCACAATAAATGGAAGCCGTGCTGCAAAAGGGTTTGTACAGATGGTGGAAGAGCTTGAGAGCAATGAACTGTTTGCGGATGTCGGCAAAGCAGCTGAACAGAAGGCAGTGGAAGACTTGGTAGAGGTAAGGATAGATGAAAAAAACATAGAAAAGTTCTTTTTGCTCGGCTCGTCTTTATCCAGCACTGAAAGAATAGAGGTCATGGAATTCTTAACCTCTAACATCGAAGTGTTTGCTTGGAAACCATACGACATGCCTGGTATTGACCCAAACTTCATTTGTCACCAACTTAAT